CCCCCCCCCCCACCCACCCCCTGCCCGTCCACCCCAACCGCCTCCTGCCCGTCCACCCCAACCGCCTCCTGCCCGTCCATCCCAACCGCCTCCTGCCCGTCCATCCCAACCGCCTCCTGCCCGTCCACCCCAGCCACCTCCTGCCTGTCCACCCCAGCCACCTCCTGCCCTTCCGTCCCAACCGCCTCCTGCCCGTCCATCCCAACCGCCTCCTGCCCGTCCATCGCAGCCACCTCCTGTGCTTCCCACACAGGTTTCCCAAGTCCAGCATTGCCAGGATGGGCGAGGAGCTGGCCCACACACTGGCCGGGCAGCAGTCTTGCTCCTCTGACACCCATCTGCCCAAACTGCCTCTCTTTTCCCGGGGGAGGAGGAAATGCCCCTTTCTCTGTCTTTCTCAGCATGGAAAGGGATAGCGTTCAGAGTCAGTCTGAACTAAAAGGAACCAAATGCTGCTTTTTCGGGTGTCTCTGCCTGGCTGCCATCTGGCTCCCCCGCTGGTGGTGTTTCAGCCTCGCTTTTGATTGTCCTTGCAGTTGATCTCTGCCTTCCTCTCCCTGCACCTGCTCAGACGCAGGAACAGCCTCTCCCAGGCTGCTGCTGTTGCACCGGGGTACCCAAGCTGGGGATGTGACACCCCGCAAAGTCACTGTCGCTTCGAAGGGAAGGAAGTGAGAGAGGCGTACCTGCTCTTCAACCCTGTGTATGAGCACCTGGACAGCTAACAGCATCTGTTCCTTCAGTAGTTGCACAGTTGCTGGTGAAATCTGAAGTTATTCGTAGCTGTATTTACGTAGGTATTCATATAGACCTTTAACTCCTAGCTTGACAGTTTATCCTGTAGTTTTCCTAAATCGCTTGCTTTACTGGTGCCATGTGGCAAACAGATTGGAGCTGTCACCGACTCACTCCAGCACACAGGAGCTGCTCAGGGTTGCAGTCCCTGCTCTGCGGGGATGCTGGCGGGCACCAGCCCGGGGACCCTGCCTGGCACCGAGCCCTCTTGGACTGCGGAGGCGAGAGGGTGCCCTGACCTGCGGGGCATCCCCTGACCGGTAACAAATGGTGACTCCTGGTCCAAAAACCTTGATCAGAGCGGGTCTGCTTGGAGCTGGCAGCATGGGGCATTTCGAAAGGTGTGACTTTCAGGTGTGTAGCGATGCAGTTGTAAAACAATTGCTGTATTTGTGTATGATGCCTGCCTTTGTAAAGGAAGGCGCTTGGGGGAGTCGATGCTTTGTCAGCCAGGGCCCAGACATCCTCAACATCTCCCTTACAGGTACACAAAGCTTTTAATTCTGTCTGCCAGATAGAAATAAAGTGGCTTATGCTTTGGAGCACGTGATAGATTCAGCTGCCGAGTCTAATCCTAATGAAATAAGTGTTCCTTAAGCATGCAAAATCAGACACCTTGCCCCCACCCCAGAGCCCAAGAGAGGATCCAACGCAAAGATTACCGCAGCGCGCTGGTGCTGTCGAGGCGCAGCAAAACGTGTCCCGCGGCGGGAGGCTGATGCTGCTGCGAGAGGATCGGTTGCAGTTCCTCTGACTCCTCAGGGCAGGAGCGGGCGGCAGTGTTGGGTGTAAACCCCCCGGGGCGAGGAGGTGCTGGAGGAACAGCCGGGCATCCCACTTGGGACACTTAGACCTCCCTCCGGCTTTCGGCTGCTTTCTTGGCCAGACTGCTGCAAATTCCAGGTGACGCTCCCAGTGCTTCTGCTTTTGTCTCCTCTAGAAGAAAGAGAGAAATAGGATTTTTTAAAAATAAGTAGAGCTTTACTTCCTGCTCTTGGCCCACTGAGTGACTATTTTTAAAAGGGAGCATGTGTTTTGTGAGACTGCACAACTTGTCTGAGCACAGAGTTGCACACCCGTCTGCTACCTTTTTGCCTTGTGATGTGATCCTGGTTTTATTTTTGTACACAGCCTTATTTTTTCAAAACCTTCTAAAGTAGTTGGAAGAAGTAGTAACGGGTTAGTTTGGAGAAGGTAAATATATTCCTGAACAAAATATTTATACCTTATATGACTTGCAGAGCAGATCTCGAAGTTCTAAGTTATACACAGGGCATCAACACTGTATGACATATTTTATTGAAAGACTAAATATAGCCAGTTGCAATGTAAATAAACTCTACATATTTAACATTTTCTGGGATGTGCAAAATAGAATCGTAGGAGCTGGGCTGCATCTTTTTTCAGTGGTTTGTACATCGTAAGAGAAGTGTCACACCGTTTCCGGGCTTCTGTCCTGACTGCAGGGCACAGGTGTCTGTACGCATCCTCTGACAGATGTCCTTACAGAAATCAGAACATCAGATGATGTTTTTCCTCTCTGTGTTTTTACCCTGCTCTTCAGTGAGTTCTTCTGCCGCTGTTTCTTCCACGCTGAGGAGATGCTTTCTGAGATGAAGCGTTTGTCGTTGTTTATGGCAGGCTGGGTGTCTCATGCCAGCTTTCTGCAGGTGATGAGAGAAAAGAATAAAAGACTCCTCCCTCCTATCTGGTCTTTTCAGGATGAATCTTCAAGTCACGAGTGTAACCAGCGCATGATTCTCCTTTATGGCGTGGGCAAGGAGCGTGACGAAGCGAGGCATCAGCTGAAGAAGATTACCAAAGACATCCTCAAAATTCTGAACAAGAAGAGTACCACCGAGATGGGCGGTAAATGCTTTAGCGCTGCGGCCGGTTGCGGAGGTCAGGGGAGCGCTGAGGTGCTCGGCGGGTTGTCCAGAGCTGCGTGTGTCGGTCACGGAGTTTGGCTTTTGTCCCCTTCCAGCGGCCGGCTGAGGCGCTGACCCAGGTCCCGCGGCGGAGATCGCTGCTTTCCCTCACAGCAGCTGGGCTGCAAACACCACCATTAGGCTAAAGATAAATACAAGATACAGCCCTGTAAAACCGTGTGGCTGGTTTTCAGGTTTTCTTGGGTGTCGCCTTCTTGCATTGGAATAACCTCAAAGTAGTTCCGGTGCTGTTGTGTGCCGTGCCGCGTGTTTGGCCCCGGAAAACTGAGCCGAGCAGACGCTTGGGTAGTCAGGAGTAAAGCTTGTTGAGATTTTTGTTGTCTTTTAAATCGGCAGTAATGCAAAACTACTAGGGCCTCGTTAAATGTCAAATGACCAAACTCGTTTTTCCTCTGTGAAGTTGGGGATGAAGGGCAGAAAGCCCGGAAGACCAAACAAGAGGCTTTTCCAACCCTAGAGACCGTGTTCAGCAAACTGCAGCAGCTCTCCTACTTCGACCAGCACCAGGTGACGGCTCAGGTACTTCCTGCCTGCCGCCGCGGGGCTTTGCGCGTTCGGCTGGAGAGATACCAAATAGGGAGCAAATCGAGGTTTTTAGAGGTCTCTTGTGTATAGCAGGAATTTTCGGTGCCCTGCTGGTTGAAAGGCAAGAGAAGAAAGTGCTGCCTTTTCCTCTAAAATACCTGCTGTGGGCGATCTCTGGGTGTTTGCTTGGGTTTTGTAGTTGGGGGGGTTGTTTATTTGTTTTGCCAGAAGCAGCTTTCTGGATTATTATAGATGTCGTGACTAATGAAAAGTTTGAAATAAATTTTACATATATTTCCATTAACAGCATTGTTTAGGCTTGTTGGTAAATTCGATACTTACTAACCGATCTCTTGCATGTTTTGATTGACGAGCCTGGTTTGTGTTAGCACTTTTAAGTGTGCAAAGGCAGAAGAGTTCCTCAAGAAGCACAAGTGGCATATGTTTGATAATTAATTTATAAGACATCTTTGGATCTGCTCTTCTGAATGAATTTATTACATGTTTTGTGTGCAGGACAATGTGTTATTGATTACTTGAAAACTATCAATAAGAAAAAGTAAATCACGATGGAGTAAGATAAAAAGAACAATTATTTTGCCTCTTCTTTAAAGCGAAATACCCCACAGAATAAAAATCAGTGTTGTTGATGTTAAGAGCAGTTTGACTCTCAGCTGTAAAGCAGCGGAGCAGCATTTTCTCTGTTGTCAGTTTTGAAAAGAAAAGGGCATGACGACCGCCGCGCAGAGTAATAGATCTGTGTGATTTGTTAGGGCTTTTATCTGCCAGATGCTGTCACTTGCTGTTGCTGCTCACACAGCGGGATTTTCGGAGTGCTGGCGTATCGGAAAAGCCCTCAGTGACCGTGGGGCTGTTGAACATGTATTTTCACAGATCTCCAGCAATGTCCTCGAGCAGATAACGAGTTTTGCCTCAGGAACGTCGTATCATCTTCCCCTGGCTCACCACATACAGCTCATCTTTGATCTCATGGAGCCCGCGCTGAATATCAATGGACTCATAGACTTTGCGATCCAGGTAAACGGAGTTCCTTCTTTGGGGAGTTGTGTCAGGAAAAGCTTCTGACACATTTTTCTGCGAAGCCAGAAAAAAACAAGATGTGCTCCTATCTGCTTCGATTTCCTGACCTCTGCAAAGAGAGTGCAGAATACTTCCCCTTCTGCCCGACTTTGGCAGTTACGGGGAATCAGTAAACGTATTTTATTTTTAAATCTTCCAAAATTATTGAAAT